TATGATCAATAAACCCAAAAACATTACAAGAACCAAACTAACTTAAATATAAACCTAATTTTTTTCACTATAACAAATTTGCACCTACTATGCCAAGGTAAACAGTTAGTAGTTGTTTATTTAGATCAGCTTAATTGAGTCATTAACAAATATATTTTTTTGGTTTATCTTTCTTTTAGTTCATTGACTGTCTACAGTGTTTTTATAAAAATAAGTTCGTATTGTCTAATAAATGAGAAGTATATTTTGCCTTCTAAGTAAAGTCTGTCAAATTTAAAGATTATTTGAGATTATTTTGTAAAGTTAATATTAGCGTTCGTTTGAAGCTAAAGATGATTTTTAAACGAATCTTTGTTAGTAAAATATTACAATTTTAAAAAAGTACTTTAAAGTGTATAAATAAGTTACCCGAGCAATTGATTTACATCAGCCAATCAGACGAAAGTCTGCCTATGAGGTAAAATTCCCAAAATTTAAAAAAATTTTTTCAAAACTTTAACGAAAATTTAGATTTTTCTAAAAAGCAAGCTTTTGTGGCTATGAAATAAAATTTTGTTCTAAGAAGCTTAAGTTGTTTTTAACTATTCTGTCTTTTATTTTAGAGCTATACTGGTTGTTGTTTTAGAAGAATTTTGCTTTAGCTTCATTTTTCCTTTTGCTTCCAAAATGGTTTTGATAATCAGCAGAAAGAGTTTTTTGATTATATTTCATACTGAATAGTATTCAAATAATACTATTCAATATTAATATATATATATATTAATTTTTTTTACTAGTAATATATATTTATTATTTTTTTTAATATTTTATTCAGCCAACTCAATATTTACTCAGCTACTGTTTTAGATAAAATGCATCATTTGGACTTAGGGCTATTCAATTATCAAATAGTTTATATGAGAGAAATGCTAAAGGATTTTTGCAATCAGGTAGCAATTAATGAACTTAATTAATGTTTATTGAATATTTAAAGGTTTCTGGGATTAAAAATATTTAAAGAGGGTCTAAAAAATATTAAACAGTTTACAGCTAACAAGTATCATAACATAATAAAAGTATTTTTATTCATTGTTGAGAGTCTAATTAAAAAGCATTACAAAGCTTCAATAGAAGCAAATGTTGCAAAGCATTATGATGATGTATTAGTTAATATTTATTACTGATAGAATAAAATGTATTTATTTTGCCAAAAAGAATTTTTTCTCAAATCAGATCTTTTAAAACTTAAAGTGTATATTTTATTATATTAATTAATTAATAATATACATTATTCATATACAGTTAGTCCTCCCTAAATACAACCCCCCTAAATGCAACAGCTCTCTAAATACATGATAAAAGACTAGCCTTATAATGAGATTTATAGATAAATGCATATTCTTTATTCTGCAATTGCACGCTAATTGCCTAGTCCACTTATAAAAACCTCTTCTATAAATACAACCATGTGATTATCGGCTAATCAAATTCATTATTTCTAGGCTACTAAAACCATATTTATTACATGATAATAGTAACATTATGATTTTATTAGTATTCTTTAATTGCAACCCTCCCTAAATGCATGCTCTAGAGCTGGTTCTAATAACTTGCATTTAGGAAGGTCTGACTGTATAATTTAATCTATTTCTAGAATTTGATTATGAATTGGGCAAAGTTGTTTTTAAAACTTTTTATAAAGTATTCACCTTCGCAACTTAAACTACCTAAGTTGCATAATTGGTGTTATTATTAATTATAGCAATAAAGGAATATAGTGCAATTAATGGATTCACAGCAGAAACTTATAAAACTTTGCATAAAGATTATATAAAAAAACTATATAAAGCTAGTAACAAATGTGATACAACTGAACAAATAATTCAAGTAGTTAGTATCAAGTTATTATTAAAATTAAAAGCTTTAATTTTTTATTCATTTATTTTTATTAATTTTTATTTTAATATAGGTTTCTTATAGTTCAACTATAAAATATTTATTTAAACACAAAAAATCTGAAATGATTGTGAAATATTGTAAAAAAATTGCAATAGATGGTCTTTTGGGAATATTTTTATTAGAAATAGCTAATGATTTTTTTTGCTTCTTACAAAGCAAATAAAGATTTGGCTTTTAAAGCTTTACTAGCTTTTGATCGATTTTTTTTATCATTAAATAAATTTTTTAACTTGTTTGAAGATTTAACTGAAGATATAGTAAAAGGAAACACTAGTATAAAATGGTATAATTATACAAATATGGTTGAAAATGAAGATTATATAAGAGTATACAGTAAATTTTACAATAAACTGGCATTTAGTGATATATCAATTAATATGAATACAGAAGAAAGCAGAGATTACAATACTGATAATAGAATTTGTTATTGCAAGATAAGTTACTTAATTGCTAATTTATAGGGAGGTACCATATTATTATGGACACTTTTGGGATCACAGTTTCTCGGGATTGGGTAAGTAAACATAGCAGAACTTTATGTCATGTGACGGGCATATCTTATGGTACATCATATTAAAATTTTATACGATTTTATTAAGTTAAGTAAAAGTTATGCAAAAAAAACTGCAGACTTGGTTTTCTTTATTGGGGCAAAAATCCAAAATTTAACTTTTTTTTTTTTTTTTTTCTATTTTTTTTTCTAAAAAAAATCTAATCTAATTTTATTTTAATATTTTATGGGTCCCTCTTTAGCTTTTATGCAAGCAGCAACTTGATCAGGTATGCTGGTGATTAATCGTCAGATTAATTCTGGTGGTATATCATTCCACGCCTTTTTAGCAAGAGCATCTGGCTCATCAAGACTACCTGGCCTGTTTTTACAACATATTGACTGCTTTACTTCCTCCCACAGATTTTCAATTGGATTAAGATCAGGGCTCTGCAGGGGCCAATTCATCACATGAATTCGGTGCTCTTCCAAAAATTTCTTCGCTACTGTAGCAACATGGGGTCTTGCATTATCCTAAATGAAGGTTGGGTGACCATGCCTATAATTTGATAGAAATTTATTTATAGCGGTGACAACATACTTACGGAGGATTTCAAGGTGCAAGGCACCAGTGGCATTGGATTTTAGCGGAACAAGGGCCCCAACCCCAAACCAGGAGAAGCAGCCCCAATACATACAACTCAAGCTACACTTTACAGTACAACCTATACAATCGATTTCTCATTTTTCGTGTGGTTCACGCCACACATGGCCAGGAGAACCTTGAAAGAGATAAATAGTGGTTTTATCTGACCATAATACCCGCTTAAAATTATCAACAGTCCAGTCTTGATGTGCAAGGGCCCATTCATATCTTTTTTTGGTATTTGTATTAGAGACAAGTAGCTTTGAGGGAGCGACACATGAGGACAAATTTAAGTTATGCAAAGCACGATATACAGTACTTTTGAAAACCTTTTTTTCACTATAGCAGTTATGAAGATTGGTGATTTGGAAGAGGTTGAGACAGCGGTTGCCATTGGTTACTAACTCTTTTAAGTTTTCCTGGTCAGATTGGGTTAGGGTTTTTGGGCGGCCAGGCCTTTTTTTTTTTTTTTTTTGCACTTCCGCACCCGATCTACTGAACTTCTTTATGACATTCCACATTGAAGATTTGCTGCAACCAACTGCAGCTGCAATGGTACGAAGAGAATCTCTGTGCCAGTGGCTATAGATTATTGCTTCTCTTTGGCTTTCTGTTAGATCCTTCTTTCTCCCTATTTTTTTGTGGGAAAAAAGTAAAAGATTATTGTTTTTTTTTGATTATGCCAATTGGTCTTACAAATATGCCTTTTTTTTATACTGCAATGTTACCTAGATTTTGCACAACATTTGGTCAAAATTTGAAGCGATTTAACCAAAAATTCGATTTTTTGTGATTTTTTTTTTTAAAAAAAAAAATCAAAAAATCGATTTTTGCCCCTATCCAAAAATGGTAATTTGTCTTACATTTTGTATAACTTCTGAGCACTCTAACTAAATCATATAAAATTTTAGTATATTGTACCATATGATATACCCATCATATAACAAAATTTTGTGCTATGTTTACTTACCCGATCCTGAGAAACCACGATCCCAAAAGTGTCCATAATAATATGGTATCCTCTTGTATTATAAGATATATGTAATTTTTTTAAATATAAATTATATCTATCTTTTTAGATCCTTATGTTGGTCAATATTACTATTGAAAATTATTCAACACAATTTGAGCTTGCTCTTGTACAATGATATGACTTTTGCTTTAAAAATAACTGTTATTTATACAAATATAATTGTCTACTATTAAAACTCTCAGATACATTTGATTTCATTTCTGTAGAATCTATTATTGAATTAGTGCATATAATTAAATATGCAGAAAAGCAAAATAAATATTTTGTCAATATATATATGTTTTAATAATAGTTATTGTTTATAATATGTACAATTAAATATAAAAATATTGTATACTCTGAATTTAATTGTTATATTTTCATAAGTATATATATTTTTTAGGAATTTAATAATATTTGCACATAGGAGTGTGGCAGCCTAGTGAAGTGGTCTAGTCATCACCCCACCAAGCAGCAGGTCTAGAGTTCGAATCTCACAGATGACGTTTTTCAAAAAATAGATCTGCATTAGGTAATGATTATCTATCGATCGGTTGGATCTAGAAATCTGTAATCTTGATTGCACCATCTAGAATGAGAGCTTTGGTGTAGAAATGCCAACATTACCAAAATTTGCAAGGGGATTACTATCGATGTTAATCGGTTATTGGATAGTAATCGATATAAATACCCCCTGACGATGACTATCGAGTTAGTTAGTAATCGATATATATCGATATATCAGTTAAAAAAAATCCGATTAGTAGTGATTAATATCAAATAACGATTCAAATCGATTTTTTCTAATTATACCAATATCAATACTATTATACCATATACTTATTACTCATGTTTAATAAATTAATTTTAATATCAAATATTACTTTTTATAATGCAAACAAATGCAATTT